AGATCGTAGACCGGATCGGGCAGCTGGGCCGCTTTGTAGCACTCGGGCATTTTGAAAATCCGGTACTCGTAAATCTCGCCCGAGATCTTGGTAACGGCGTCCTTAAGGGCCTGAGTTTCGGTTGGAATGACTTGCTTTCGGAAGCCTTGACTCCAGACCCTCTCGACCGGGAGGATCCACGGATCGTATTTTACTGAGAAGATTCGGTTCTTCCACCCCCGGTTGTTCCCGGGCAGCACCTCGATCGAGCACATATCTGCTCGGGACTGGGTCATCAAGAATCCGCCCCCATACGCGGCTGCCAGCACCTTCACCTGGTAGACAAAATTGAATAGCTCCATGGTGCAGGCCAAGTTGTGCCGACTGCAAATCTGGGGGAAGCACGCGATCATCCGATGCGCGTTCGGGCAGATCTGTCCGGGCATGACCTGGTAGTACCCCAGGAACACGGTGAGAAGGCTCGAGAAGGGGAAAGTGATCGGGGCCATCAGGGAGTCGTAGTGCATCCCGAGCCACTTTCCCCGATGCCGCTCGATGATGTTCCCGAGCTGGCGGCTGGTGTCGAACTCGACCCGACCAGCAAGTGTTGCAGCGATTTTGCTCACTTCTCCTTTTGTCAGCAAGCTCATCTGGTTTTCGACGCTCTCGCTGTTGAGGAACTCGAACCCGTCCCCGCCTGGCGCCGCCGGCCCAGGCGGATCCTCCTCGACCGCCTCCGCGTCGTCTGCCCGGTTGCCCCCTTCGGGCTCAACCTGAGGGTAATCCCCTATTACCCTCGTAGGCGTTTCCCTAACGCCTTCGACCGGGGAGTTCCGTCCGCTCGTGGACGTTCTCCCGCTCTCCTCGCTCGAGCTCCCCGACCCACTGGAGCTCGACCCCGACGTCCCAGACGAGCTCGATGACTTTTCTGGCTCGGGGACCCGCTCGGGGATTTGTTGTGGTCGTTGCTCGACCTCCGGAGAATAGGACATGATGTCCACCTCCTCGCTAATCTGCTCGACCTCGTCGTCATAGTCTGCAACCGAGATGTTTTGGCTATCCGAGTCCGACATCTTTTCTACCTAAAGGTCGGTCGGGGTTAGTATATGGCTCAGGACGTTGGGCCGGAGTTAGTGTTATCCTACTACTACGCAAGAATAAAAATGAAAGCTAGAAAGTAGAGAGCTTACCGATCAGGGAGGCTTTGAAAAAGTTTGCAGGTGAGTTGCTCGATCGATCTGCTGAAGAGCTCGTTAGGGACTCTCTGAGGGTGCCGATTGGTTCAGAAGATTGAGGAAAGTTCAAATGAGGGCCTCAAGGGCCTATTTATAGGAGAGCATTTGGGCGAGAAACCAATCCACTTGCGCGATGTGACCCGCGCTGATTCCGAGGCGACCGTTGCAGTCGCAGAGGCCGGCAGTCGCCGACACGTGGCGAGAGAAGGAATGACACCTGGCCAGTCGGTTTGGTAGCCGACGGTTGGGCTTCTTCATACCGTCCCGTTTTTTCCCGGACGGTCAAAAAGGCCCGGGCTAGGGGGCTCTTGGTAGGGAATATCCCGACCGATATAGCTTTACCACGACCGTTGTGCCTTTGTCTTTTTCTTCTTGTCTTTGCAGGTAACAGGTCGGGTTTCTTTTGAAGAACCCGGTCGGGATCCGACCGGGATTTGCCCGAGCGGCAGTGTCGACCACCGAGCGGTAGCCCTTTAGCGAGAGAGCTAACGAGGGACACGTGGCGGCTCCACGCGTTGGCAGGCAAGGCACCCGGGACGAAGACACGTGGTTGCTACGTGGGAAGCATGCCGAACGGTCGGATTTATGTCTCTGGCTCCGCGGCTATAAATACCCGTGATAGCTACAGTGTGGGGGACTTTGGGACGATCGATAGGTTGTTGTTAGAGAATCCCGACCGCAGTCAGTCGGTACTCAGAGCAACCAAGTAGATTGTACTTAGGGCCTTCACAATGATCAATAAGAGTTATTTACTTGCTTTAATTGGTCTCGTATTTATTTAATTACAGTTTACGCGGCAATTAACACTATCAACTGGGAAATAACATCGGTCGGGAAGTCCACGGATCGGGTCCGACCGCCTTGCGTGAACGACTCCCGACCTAAAGATCCTGCCCAAACTACAAAAAAAAAAAACCAAACTCATGTCGGTCGGGATATATCCTACCACCCATGTTCCCCTGTCTCTAAAAGGAACATGTCCTTCATTGTTGTAATGAATGTTTTCTAAATTTTTTGGGTTTTCAGTCATGTGTTGTTAACACCCACTATCAAAGTATCATACATTTACATGTTTTTCAATCTTTGAGGTGTAAGCCAGTTGTTGTGTTTGATTTTTTCTAATCAAAACTTTCGATGCTCGCATTTTCTGAAGATCATTGTGTCTTTGGTAGCACTGGGCTTTGATATGTTCTAGTTTGTGACAATAGTAGCATATAATCCTTCATTGATTTCGGTGTTGAAAGTGATGTTGTAACGCTATTCTAAGGTCGGGATCAATTGTATTTCCTGGGTTTTTTATTCTTTCTCCCCCTTTTAGCATTTCTATTTCTTTGGTTAGTTCATCTTCTTTTTCTTGGGATTTCTACAATTTTTTTCTTTGTTTCTTCATGAAGTTGATACATGCTTGGGACCAGGATTTTAGTAAGTCTTATTGTATTATATTACATAGTTTAGATATTAATAAATTACTAAATAGTTATTTAGAAACTAATAAATAGTTATTTAGAAATTACTAAATAGTTACTTAACTTATTATTCTTAGTCTTCGAATTAATTTAGGTAGTTTAATTATTTAGAAATAAACTGGAAGATTTCAGTAGATTACTTAGCTTATTTAGTCATTCTATGAGTTGTATTTTACCCTATAAAAAGGGGTATTAAAAGGGGGTATTATTGAGAATAGTGCAAGCAGAAATTGAATCCCAAAAAGGGTCTAAGGGAGTTTTGGGTCTCAAGCAAACCCAGTGTTTTCTTCTTTTTCTTTTCCAACTGTTATTCTCTATTCATTTTTCCTTATGCTTTCTTGCCCGTGACGTGAGAACACAACAGAAGTTGTGTTCTCTTTCTTTCTCACTTTCTAGGAATCAATTTTTCTGTATGAGGTTGTTGTTTAATTTGATGAGTTCTTGCCATTTTGATTGCAGTTGTGTGCATGCGTCGAGGAGTTCTTATGTGTCATTTTTTGTTTCATTATTTTCTTCATGACTAACAGTAAAGATTACAAAATTTTTGTTTGAATTGTCTTCTTCACTATCTGACTCATCACTTAGGGTTGTGATATAGATTTTGTTTTTCCTTCTTAAATAGGTTGGACATTCTGCTTGGACATGTCCATGTCCTTTGCATTCCTTCTAGATTGGTGTTATTTTTCTTTTTGGAATTTTCAGTGGACTATTTTGCCTATTCGCATTGTTGTTTGAATTGTTGTTTTTGTTCTTGAATTTGTTGAACTTCTTGAAAACTCTGTTAAAGTTCTTTGTTTGTAGGGCAATTGATTCTTCTATGTTCTTGATTTCGTTGTTGAATCTGACTCTTCATTGTTTAAAAGGCTATCCCTTTGGTGTTTGGTTTTCTATGGTGTAGCATTTATAATTTATATGTTTGAAGGTTTCCTATAAGATCACTCAGTTTGTAGGTGTTTAGGTTTGTACTTTCTTGGAAGGCTTTTACTTTTTGCATGAATCTTTTACGCAGTGATTGAAGTATTTTCTTTACTAGTTTTGCCTTAGGAATGGGCTCTCCTAGATTATAGGCTACCCCAGCAATATCTAGTATTCTTGCATTGAACTGAGTGATGTTCTCTTCTATCCTTAGATTTTCAAAATTTGTTTGGACTATTTGTAGTTTTGATTGTTTAACTAGAGGATTTCCTTCATGGTGGTTGCAGAGTATTTCCCAAGCTTTTTTGGCTATGTTAGTTGCAGAGATTAATTTGAATGTTTCATCGTCTACTACTCCAAAGATGGCATTCATTGCCTATATTCCTTTGAGTTGTAACAGCATCTTTGATCTCTACTTCAATCCATTTGTCCTTTTATTTTGTCTCCTTTATCATTTGTTAGTGGCTTCCATACTTTTTTTTACAGCTCTCCATACTCTTTTCTTTGAGATTGTATGTATATCTTCATTCTGGCTTTCCCATAAGTGTAGTTTGCACTGTTTAAGGCCGGAGGCCTACTTTTGATAGCCCTTCCCTGGAAAAATCCATTAGCAATCCCTTCTGAAGATTAAGATTCGGGTAGTAACTTAAGCAATTTGGCTGTTATACCAATTGAAATTTTTGAAGGGACGTTTTGTAGTGATGTTAGAATATTTGTTGTAACACAGAGACTTTTAACGCAGGTCAAGAATTCCCTAGCTTGCAAATCAATTGTTGTATTAGGAAAAAATCTAATTCACTATAAGTACAGTTTAAAGTACACAAGTTGGGAGCGCTTTTAGACAATAGACTTTAAACTTCTTCCTATCTATTATAACCTACCTACAGTACTACTTATGTGAACTGAAATGTATTGTTAGTCTGCACTTGCACTTAGGATAGGATCCCTGCCCTTGCACTTTGGATAGGATCCTTTTATAATGCTTTTTAAGATCTTTGATCCCTGGAGTATTACATTTTTCGATATAAGTATTAAATTTCATAAGAATCCATGATACGAACTAATATGAGTGCCACTCTAAAGGGTTTGAAATCCTTTTTACTCAAAAGTAATAACCAAGTTTCACAATTTCTCCAAACTTGTTATATATTTATGAACATGTAACAGTTGTGTTGACAGACTTTCATTTGCACAAGTCGTAAATCCAACATTATAGATTTAGACGCAATTGGCAAGCAGTGCAATGAGGATATGTTGTGTCTGCAGAAAAAAAGTGGTGCCTGGAGGCCTTTGTGTCGCAGTCATCAACGTTGATAACCATGGTTTCTATTTGCACTCTGGTGAAGAATACCAAAAATAGCCTCTGGGAAAGAAAATGTCAAGTTTTTCTTAATCAATAGTGACATTTCAAATTCACTAATTCAGCCAACAGGTGATCGAAAAACTTGTTTCAAATTTCATAATCATAATACACAACCCATGAGACTGATCTCAACTTATCAAAGCTAAACGTACCGTCAAAAAGAAACAAGCTTAAGGACTAACACTTCATCACTAATACATAAGACCACAATACTACTAGAAATTCCAAATCTATGAGCAAACTAAAAATAAAGCACTTGGTCAACTTGTTGCTTCCACAACTTCACTAGCTTTAACTATGAAGGTGGTGGCATCTGAAGTTCCAGATCTAGTCAACTTTAATATCTTCCCCTGAGATGTGTGAAAATCCATTTTGTTCACCAACTTTAATATCTTCCCCTGAGATGTGTGAAAATCCATTTTGTTCACCATTGGTTTTGGAGCCTTCTCGTAACTGGAACAGAAGAAAAATGACATCATGAAGCAAAAGAATACAAATATCAAATATAGCAATTGTTATCAGTTATTACTTCAACATAATACCGTGGAACCAACCTATCAAGACATTATTAACTGTAATGAAATTTGAATAAGATGATAGCAAAATGGACTGTCTGAAAACCCAAGGGCTCAATGGTGTTTGTCAAGGAAAATAAAAGAAGGCACAAAGATACCTGCTGAAGGACTTTCTTCTGATATCGGTAGCCCTGTGAGATAAAGCCCAAAAAAAGTGTAAGAAAATGTTTGGTCTTAAGGCCTTAATGAATTGATGTTGAGAATTAATCCAATATAATTATTTATATACACACCTTGTCAGTTCCATAGATGTAATCACAATAGGTGAATACTGAAGCAAAATTGCTCTGACTTAGGCCACCAACATAATGATGGTAATCATGGTAATCTGGACCACCATAAAACGGTATATATTTTGTGGGAGTCCAAGGAAGGTCATACCTGAGTTAACATTGGTGATAACAGGTGAGTAAAAACAGACACAAAATGTCATATTGGAATCAGTACAACAATAATCGATGTGAATACAGAAGCACTGATTCAGTAGAATAAATGATACTCCATATGTCAAATTTTCAGTGATGCTATAACAGATGCCAAGATAGGTAATGGAGCAGGTAGCTTCTAGTATATCTTCTACATGGTTTCACTTAGAAACAACACAATTATTTTTAATAAACTGACACGGTTAAATTTAACCATCAGAATAGAATCTTTTAAGTCACTGTACAATATCGCTGTAAGTCAACTCCACCCATCCAATAAGCTAAAGCTTCTAACAAGAATAAACACATGATGCAACTAAATACTTTTGGTTGGGAGGTTCCAATTCAAGAACGGAAATGACTATAGTTGGTGTTTAATTGGGTACTAAATGTACTAGTTAATTGGGGTGGAAAGTGGGTAATTGAAAGATCTCATTCCTGTATTCCACATGGGTTTGTTTCAGTTGAGATTGATACCCTTTTGCTTACCACTCTGGCTCTATCCCTCAATCAGGTACAGTCTACCTACAACAGCCTCCCCTCCCCCAACCCCAACTCCACCACTGGTGGCACCCTCTGTTTGTGCTAACTGCCCACACCATCCACCTTCTTCTCCCTTCCCATGTTTTGCTAGCCTCTTGAAACTGCAGAGCATGGCAACCAACCCAGCACTTAAGCCCCTTCTTGCTCAAAAAATTAAAGCCTCCTCTTCAAGATCCAGTGATGCAAATGATCTATAAAGACTTTTTAAACAAGATAACCAACATAGCCACTTTCATGATACATTTTAATTTTATAAGAAATATGCCTAATATATTATGTCTGTGAATGCACGAGTGTGCATGTATAACATTTTGTATTATTATGTAAGAAACTTAATGTATGAAGTAAATCTGAAGAAAGAAAATATGACAAAAAATTAAATATGGCAATTGATTCTTATTCCTATTTTGATCACTGTTGTAAAAATCGCACCTAGGCGCTGCCCGACCGTGGCGAGTTCCCATTTAGGCGCCACCTACTCAACCGGCTGACGAGGCGCCTAACTCGGCCGAATCATTATGTTTTTTTTTTATTTATTGTTTTTTGCAATTTTAGAGCCATGTGTAATAATTTGTTATTTGTGTGTGTGTGTGTATAATAGCATACACACACGCACAATCTCATTTTTATTTTTTTTTGTTTGTGTGTCTTCGGCCGCTAGGTGGGCCTTTGGCGCCCGACTAGCGCTTAGCGTATTTTGTAACCTTGATTTTGATACAAACCAATGTAGCTTTTGTTTAAATTCACTCTCATTTCCATTCTTTAATATTTTTGCTCCAATTCTTAAGGTCAACCACTCAAGCAAAACAGCCACATAGTATAAGCAAAATGGCAACACAATAGCACTAAAATGGCCAAAATGTGCATAATGAGTGCAATATTAACAAGCTGTTCAGACATGATTTGTACATAACATTGCAACATTAAACCGCTTAAAGATTGCAGTCTCAACTTTTACATAGATAACCAAAGGAGTCAATTATATTGCATGTTAGATTAATCTAAGGTGCTTGATAAGCAAATGATCACCTTATCTACCAAGTTAGGTGAACTCAACACAACTCAATCATTGCCTGCCAGCTCAGGTTGACTACATGCACCCTCATTTTCCATTAAGTTCGGCTAAAGAGTAAAGACAAAATTCTCCAACAAAAATTACAACTCATATTCTTCTTTGTTGTTTAGATAGGTAATCAACAATCAATCAACCATTTGCAATATTTTAAAAATGCTAGGCGTAAATTGTTCTTTTAAAAGTGAAGGCGTCACCTAGGTGTTCGGTTGGTGGAGACCGGTTGCCTAACAAGCTCGCCTCGCCTTTAAAGAAAAAACCCTACTAATACATAGCTGAGAGCCTGAGACCTGACTACTGCCTGAGACGCTGACTCCCCCCTTCCTAGGGTCACTCTTTTTACTTAGTGGTTGTTTACTTTGTTTTACGGCAGGTTACGGCTGAGAATGAAAATAACCTCAATTATAATCCATCTATGGATCCTAAAAGGAAGGCTAAATCTAAAGACGTCATCGCCTAGTTGTTGACTAGACGGTTGGGTGGCACCTCGCCTTAACAACAATGGTCTCTCCCTGGTTGTCTCAATGCCAATTATGTATGCAACATGTTAACCTAAAAATTAAGTAGATAAAGATAATCTATAAACAATCAAAATGCTAAGTTTCCAAAATGTTGCTTGTCGAGTCTAAGAGCCCATCGAGTCCAAATTTGTATTGGTTAAATTATATTAAAATTCAATATCAATCCAAAATATTGCATGAAATAATATGGCAAATTTTATTTAAAAATAAATTAGAAAGTGGAGGCAGCATGGTGCATTCAATATGGATATATGTACACATCAAATAGCATGCAACTATCATAATCCAAAAGTTACTTTTCAAACTATTTCAGTATTTCAAGGATATGTTTTGAGTGTTAATACTTCTTTCCGTTGTCAATACAGACTCACTGTGTCACCTTTCACAACTTTCTTAAAGAAACCTTATAATATTTCTCTTGATTTGGAAAACAAAGTTGTTTAGCTAGGGAAGATCCCATCAATACAATTCACTTTAGTAAGATAAATCCAAATTTAATAAAAGCAAACAGTGCAAAGAAAGGAAAAGTAAATGTCACTGTTGGAGGATGATTTGGTCAATAGAATGAAATAATTAACAACTCAATCAAGCTAAAAGCTAAACAACAAAGGGGGAATTTTGTTAAGAAAAGGAAAAAAGAGAGAGAAGATGCGTGCATACCCAGAGTGGGTCTCGATGGCCTCAATCTGTCTCAGTCCAATCCACAACCAGAACGTAATAATGTGACATGGGACCATAGCGGGGCCGAGAAAAGACGGGATCCCGAGGATCAAAATCTCCGCCCAGTGCGCATATGGCGCTGCAAATCCTATTGGAGCTGTGTACTCGTGGTGAACCTTGTGAATCTTCTCGTACCCCCATTTGCAATGCAAAAACCTGTGGATCCAATAGTTGGTGTAGTCCTCCACAAAGAAATACACCATCAATTGGGCCGCAATTTCCCATATCGACGGCAAGGGCAAGCTCGTTCTTATCCCAATCATCTGCATTACCCCTAAAAAAAGTCAATAATTCTATAAGATGATCGATTATTTTGTTGAAGCTGAATTAAAACAAACATCAATGGAGATACTACTTTGATAGAGGGATACGATACGAGCTGGAGAGGGCCGACGACGAGGATGAACATGCGCATGACTGATTTGTAGCAGCGGAAGGAATCGGAGAGGGTGAGATTGACTTTTGGTTGAATCTTGTAGGAATGGATATACTTTTCCAGGAAAAATTCGAGGAATAGGTAGTAGAGAGGGATCAAGGAGAAGATGAGGAAAAGGAAGAGGATATTGTGGCAGTAGAGGAAGTAGTCGGATTTGGTGGCGGAGTAGTTGAACCAGATTGTCTCCGCGACCGTGAGGGATCGGCCCACGGCGGCTTCCGCCTCCTGTATGGTGGCGTATGGCAGCATTGGTGGTGGAGAGTGGAGACGATGGCCAAGAGCGAGAAGTGAGAAGTGAGAACTGAGAACTGAGAACTGAGAACTGAGAAGGGACTAGAGACTAGAGAGTAGAATCGGCTGTGGCCTATAGGATCCAAATAGATTCGGATTTTAATATTGGTGAAAGGTGGCAGACATGTGTAATGTTGAATTGACATTTCAATTTTTATGGAGGTAATTTATTTTTTGTTATAGATTTATAGGTCACACTCCATTTTTAATCACTTTTTTAGAACATTTTCAGTAGTTTTATTATTGTTGTGGTATGACTATTTTTTATATTTTGTCAACAAAATTATTAAAATTTCGTTAAATACAAGGTGGGTTGACTCACTATATATTTATTTTTAAAAATTATAATTGAAGATTTAAATGCTCTGGTATTTTATAGAATTTAGACAACTTTGCTAATGGAGGACCAAAAATGATAATGCCGCAATAATACTATGACAAAAGGAAAATTTTCTGAAAAAAAAAAAAAAAAAAAAAAAAAAAAAAAAAAAAAGGACTAAACGTAGATTGTCACCTATAAATCTGGGATTAAAAAATGAAATTAATTCATTTTTATCTTAATGTTTAATTTTCAATATTTTGGTATAAATTATCAGAAAATACTACTACTCCCAAATTATACTCTCAACTTTTACTCAATCTTTTAAAATTTTGATTGTTACATTTTTTTTTGAGACCCACATGATGAAAGTAACTTATCATTTTTTGTCACATCAGAAAGTAAAAATGAATGAGTAGAAATATGGAGTATATATGGTAGAACTCTAAATTATTTAAGTATCATATATTTTTCATTAAATAATATGTCATATCATTTACTAATAAAAAATTAAGAGCAATATCAACCAAATTGATCAAACTATTTACATGGTAACACAAAGTTTTAAACTTGAATTGACCTTCTTTGTTTGAGTCATTCAACTATTTCTAATTGACATCATATTTGTTTGACAAATTTTGTTTTAACTTAGGGTGTGTTTGGAAACTCGGAAAATGATTTCTAAAAATCATTTTCCGGATTTCCAGTGTTTGGCTAGAGAGAGAAAATGGAAGTTAATAAAAATGGGAGTGTGGTCAATGGAAAATAGAGAGAATTTTCTGGAAAATGACTTCCCCATTCCGTTTGCAACAGCGGAGCAGCCAATCACCCGCCACCACCACCAACTATCACCACCACTATCATTGTATATTTTAAATATTTAAAATTAAAAATAATTATGCTCATTTTCCAAAAAATGAATCAAACACACCAAGACAGTTTTCTGGAATGCAACCAAACACTGGAAAGAAAAATGTTTTCTGAAAAACGACTCATTTTTCAAAAGTCATTTTTCTGCTTTCCAAACACACTCTTAAACTCATTACCATTACTAATTATTTTTTTGAAAACCGATTACTAATTATTTGTTTTCAATTATAATTTTGATTCTAATGTTTGAACCAAACGCTCTCTAAAATTAATATTATGTTGCGTTGGTGAGGGAGATAAAAGTTGGAAAAGAGGGAAAGTAGTTGTGGAAGATATTTTCTCATGTATGTTTACAGAGGAAGCTTACAAGCTTATATACGTACAAGAAGAGAAGCAGGAAAGATTACAAAGGGAGAAAAGGCAATAAAACTAACTCTAACATAATCAATTTTGTAGAATATTATTTGATGATGTGTCATCTGGTTCTTGATCCCTAATAGTCCCCCCAAGCTTGGATTATAGAGGTTTAGCAATCCAAGCTTGGAAACATAACTGTAGAAGGAGCTTGGGCAGTGTGTTTTAGTAAAAACGTCTGCCAACTGATTTGTAGAGCTGACATGAAACAACTTGATGATCCCTTTCTGAGCTTTCTCCCTAACAAGGTGGCAATCAATCTCAATATGTTTCGTTCGTTCGTGGAAAACCGGATTCTCAGCAATAGCTATGGCAGACTTACTGTCACAATAAATGGAAGTGGGAGTAGTAGACAGTAAGCCAAACTCAGCAAGCAAGTACATGATCCACTGTACTTCACATGTAGTAGCAGCTAAGGCCATGTATTCAGCTTCTGAGGAAGATTTGGAGATTGTAGCTTGCTTTTTGGACTTCCATGAGATCAAAGCTTGCCCCAAGAAGATGAAAAAACTTGTCACAGATTTTATGGAATCTATACAGGCTCCCCAATCTGCATCAGAAAAGGCCTTCAAGCTCATATCAGAGGATGCCGGAAAGAACGTAAACAAGCCTTGTCCAGGAGCACTCTTGATGTACCTTAGCACCCTATGAGTTGCTTGTAGGTGTAGATGTGTAGGCTTGTCCAAGAACTGGGATAACTGCTGTGTGGCAAAACTTATGTCAGGCCTGGTAATGGTGAGATATAATAACTTTCCAACCAACCTTCTATATTGAGCATTGTCATCAAGCAAGTCACCCTCATCCTTACTTAGTTTGTGTGAAGGGACTGTGGAACTGTATACAGGTTTGGAATCAATGAAACCTGCTTCTTCTAATAGCTCAAGAGCATACTTCCTTTGTGACACTGCAATACCTTTCTTCTGCCTTGCCACCTCTAGGCCTAAAGAATACTTCAAAGAGCCTAGGTCTTTGATCTGAAAACAGTCATTGAGCTGCTTTTTAATCTGTTGAATTAAATCTAAATCAACACTGGCTACTACTATGTCATCAGCATACACTAGTAGTGCCACAAAAGATGATCCCTTGCCTTTGATGAATAAAGAATTGTCAGGCACTGACTGCTTAAACCCCATCCTCTGCAAGGCAACACAAAGTTTTGTGTTCCACTGTCTACTGGCCTGCTTTAAACCATATAAAGACTTGGTCAGTTTATAAACTTGGCCAGCCTTGGCTCCTGCAACTCTAGGGGGAAGTTCCATATACGCTCCTTCTTCTTCTTCTAAATCTCCATTGAGACTTTATTGACATCCATTTGATGGAGATTCCAATGTTTTGCAGCTGCTATGACCAAAAGAGTCCTAATTTGTGGTCATCTTAGCCACTGGACTGAAGGTATCAATGTAGTCAATGCCAAGGGTTTGAGTGTACCCCTTAGCCACTAGCCTTGCTTTGTATCTATCAATAGTGCCATCATCCTTGTGTTTAATCTTGTATACCCATCTGCACCCTATAGGCTTCTTTGATGGTGGTAAATCCACCAAATCCCAAGTCTGGTTTCTTTCTAATGCAGTTATCTCTTCTTGCATAGCTACCCTCCAATAGTCATGCATCACTGCTTCTTTGTAGTTCTTAGGTTCTGACTGATAGGAAATATTCATGGCAAAAGATTGAAATGAATGAGAGATCTTAGCATAGCTTACAACTGTGGAGATGTCATGAGGAGAGGTCTTCAATACAGAGTTGTGACAACCATAATCCCTCAGATATGTTGGGGCTTGTTTGTGCCTAGCAGACCTTTTGAGAGGTTGTTGTGGTTCTTGGGGTGCAAAACTAATAGGCTGTTCAGATGAGCCACTGGTTGCTTCAATTATTGTTTCAGGCAGATGCTCAGCTGTTCTTTCAGGTGAGTGCTCAGCTGGTCCATCAGACAAGTGCTCATATCTACTATCAACATGAGTTTGCAAATCATTAGAGGGTTCTATTGAAACTCCTGTCATAGTTGGAAGTATAAGTTCAGAGAATTTTCCTTCCTCTAGGCTTACAGTGGTTTGAAAATGAAATGTGTTCTCATAGAAAGACACATCTCTGAACACAAACACCTCTTTGGAATGAAGATCATACAATTTGTAGCCCTTGGTTCCATTAGCATATCCAAGGAAAACACACTTTCTTGCTCTGGCATCAAATTTAGACTTATGGCCCAAGGTGGCAGCATAGGCCAAACAACCAAATACCTTTAAATGGTGATAGTGTGGTGTTTTGTGGAGGAGAACCTGATATGGTATTTGATCATTGATGGCACTGGAAGGCACCTTGTTTATGATGTAGGCTAAATGCAACACATACTCTCCCCAAAAATATTCAGGCATATTGGCTTGAAATCTCAGTGCTCTTGCAGTAGATAGAAGATGTCCATGTTTCCTTTCAACTCTACTATTTTGCTGTGGGGTGTAAGCACATGAAGTCTGATGTTGTATTCCCTTTATGTTAAAAACACTCAATCATATCAAACTCTTTGCCATTGTCTGATCTGATACTTTTAACATGAGTCTCAAACTGGTTCTCAACCATATTGCAGAAGTTCATAATCAGGTTTCTAGCTCAGACTTCTACCTCATCAAATAAATCCATACTACCCTACTATGGTCATCCAATATTGTAAGAAAGTATTGATGTCCATGAAGGGTGGAAACTTTATATGGACCCCAAATATCTACATGTAACAAATCAAAGCAGGCACAAGAAATAGATGCACTTGGATAGAAAGGAAGCCTTTTTTGCTTAGCAAAGTGACAACAGTCACAAACCAGGTCTTTATTCATATGAATTGTGGAATCCACTTTATGCAAAAATTGAAGTTTAGAATATGAGGCATGCCCTAATCTAGCATGCCATAGGGTGCACTTATTTACACTTGAACTAACACTGTGCACAGACAAGCAACTAACAGGAAAAGTCAAAATGTATAATCTATTTTGAAGCTCAGTCATTCCAATCATTTTGCCATGGAAAGCATCATGTATAATACACTGGTTAGTGTGCAATCTCATAGTGCAGTTGGTACTCTGAATGAATGCCCCCACAGATATCAAATTATAGCAGAAGCCAGGGATATACAAAGCACTGTGCAGAATGAACTCATCAAACAAATAAACAGTTCCAATGCATAAGATAGCAACCTGCTGCCCATTAGGTAATCTAACATACATGTTATGAACCTCCTTGGGATTAGATAATAGATCCATATGGCACACAATATGGTGAGTAGCACCACTGTCTAATATCCGCATACTTGTGCTATGATTAGCAGTTTTTTAGAGAAGATCAGTACCTTCCATTTGGTTGGCTGAAATGGTATTGGCATTGTCTAATATCCGCATACTTGTGCTATGATTAGCAGTTTTTGAGAGAAGATCAGTACCTTCCATTTGGTTGGCTGAAATGGTATTGGCATGGCAGGTGGATTGTTCAAGGGGTGTACTATTCACAAAACCTTTCTCACCATGTGACTTTTGTACCTGCACAAACTCCATAAATTTCTTGAAATCATCTTGAGTAAATGATATTCCTTCATCAGAATTTGATTGTTGGATTGGCAGAGATCCTTGAGCACTGTTTGCAGCAAAACCTTGGTTTCTAGGCCTTGGCTTCCACCCAGGTGGATAGCCATGTTTTTATAACACTTGTCCTCTGTATGCCCTATGAATCCACAGTAGGTACAAGTAGCCTTCTTATTTCCTCCAGTAAACTTCTTATAACTTTGTTGTTGTCCATTCTGTGCTCTGGTCATCAAAGCATTTCCAGCAACTTTATTCTCTCCAGTCTCAAACAATTGACTTCCAAGTCCAAACGGAATTGATATGAAACTGTCTCTCTTGTTGCGCTATTATAGAATAGGCTTCACTGACTTTCGGCAAGGGCTTCATCAGCATAATCTGATTCCTGGCACATGTATACCTTTCGTGTAATCCGATCAGGAAAATGGATAGCTTATCCTTTTCCAACAGCTCATTCATCATGTCAATTTTCCTTCCGCATTCGCATCTAGTATTGAAATCGCAGAATACAGGAGGTCTAAGTATCTGCAACTCATCCCATAACAACTTCTGCTGCGTAAAATATTCATTCAAGGTGTTGTCCCCATGCTTGGATTGATATATTTCGCATTTGATCTCTGCAACTCGAAAGAGATCTTGTTGACTGAATCTCTTCTTCAAATCTCTCCCCACTCCATAAGCCGTATCGATCTAGAGGACACTCCGGCCAATCATCGGCAATAGAGAGCGAATCAGCCAAGTTACAACCATATTATTACATTGCTCCTAGTATGGATACCTCCGATCACATCTGGGAGGTTTAGTAATGGTTCCGTATACAAATACGAGCTTATTTTTGCACGATAGTGCCATGGTTACAGCCCTAGCCCATGGATGATAGTTAGGGCCATCTAGAGGAGTGGATACCAACTCCAAAGCTGGATTTTCACTTGCATGCATAAAGTAAGGATTCAATTGTGATTGTGAATCCAAAGGTACCTCTGTCGCAATGGATGAGCTCGGCAAAGTACTAAAGGGAGCTGTCGGCGCCGGTGCCGGTGCCGGACTTCCAACGGCTGGACCTCCTGCTGCATTGTCGCTCGGGTTTGTTTGCGTGCCAAGTGTTGGCCATGCCTCCATGGTGATTCCTCAGAACATTCCTCACAGAAGCTCTGATACCATGTTGCGTTGGTGAGGGAGATAAAAGTTGGAAAAGAGAGAAAGTAGTTGTGGAAGATATTTTCTCATGTATGTTTACAGAGGAAGCTTACAAGCTTATATACGTACAAGAAGAGGAGCAGGAAAGATTACAAAGGGAGAAAAGGCAATAAAAATAACTCTAACAGAATCAATTTTGTAGAAGATTATTTGATAATGTGTCATCTGGTTCTTGATCCCTAATATATTATTTGACGATAAGGTATTGAAATATTTTGAAATAATGAACCTTTAGAATGAGATAACTAAATTTGTTCACCAAAACGTACAAATACATATATGCATGCATGCATGTAAATATGTAATTATTTTTATCTTAAAATAATTATCTTTTAAATTTGTATCATTTAATACCAAAATTTTTGTGTTTTAGAAGTAAAAAAATTTCGTTGAATGTCCTGATTTTATTAGAAAGTAAATAAAAAAGAGAAAAATAAAAATTATGACCTTTTCAGTAAAGAATAAAAAGTAAATTGGAAATTGGGAGTGTATATAGTATTATAGTACTCCGTATTAATTAAGTCTTAGGTGCTAAAGAATGATTAGGTGCCGTAGGATTGATCCTAGACTCCTAGTAGCAATTTATACAATGTATTAAATGACTAATAATTACGACAAACATTCTCATTTTTAATGGCATTGAAGGCTTCCCCCTCAGGCGATCTCATGCGTATCCATGAAGGATAGGAATTATTTTAATCCTCACGGATATTTACTCGAATTTGTGGGGTAGATCCGGTCAATTTTGTAATGGCCTCCATCACTTCGGATAGTTATACTGTGAAAACCTGTTCACTATGTGTATGATGAACACAGAGATAAATTCATAACTTTGATACTGTAGATTCATAAAAAAAAATTTTGAAAACGTAGATTCATAATTTTGTTTTTCATTTGTTATTAATAGGATAGATCCATAATTTCTAAGCTGTAGATTCATAATTTCTATACTGTAGATTCATAATGTCTATACTGTAGATTCATAATTTCTGTACTGTAGATTCATAATTTCTATACTGTAAATTCATAATTTCTATACTATAGATTCATAATTTCTATGCTGTAAATTCAGAATTTCTGTATTGTAAATTCATAATACCTGTAACAGCAAATGAAAAACAAAATTATGAATCTACATTTTTTTTTAAATATAAATTTACAGTATAAAAATTATGGATATATCCCTGTGTTCACCATACGCATAATAAACACGTTTTCACAGCATAATTTGCGCATCACATCTTTTGTCATTCTAGGTATCTTATATGTAGGGATGGATTCATAAATCTTATTTAGTGAGAAATCTCAGAGAGGTGTATTGAATCATTTTTTTTTTATAGACTTTTAAAATATAAATTTTAATAAATTTTTATTAATTTTCATAGAGTTGTTCAACCTTTTTAAAACATTGTAAGACTAACATTCATAAACTTTTATCAAAACTTAATTTTTTATTTTAAAAAGTTTACAAAAGTTATTGAATTCTAAATTGAATACATCATTACGAACTTTCATTGATTTTAATTCTTAGCATTTATAATTTTCTTACAAAACATGTTATAATATATTATCCTTTCAAAAAAATGTTATAATATATCATAAAATTCTTCTTATTATATAGTTCTTCACATACATCGAAATTATTATTTTAGTCATAGTATGGTAAGACTTGTATGCTAATTACTTATATAGTATTAATAAGCATCAATAAAAAAAAAAAAAAACTATTTCATACGAAATTTATAACAATATTGAACACTAAAATTTATAGTAACAAAATTATTCAAATAAAATATTTAAAAATATAATAGCTAGAGACACAATTCTCAAAGTCTTTAAAAAGTTTATCGCTTTCTTTAGAAAAATACTACTTGGACTTTTAAGTTTTACTCCCAACTTTTACTTTCTCACTTAAAATTTTAATGTTAACATTTTCTTTAAACCCCCAAATAAAAATAACTTATCATTTTTTATCACGTCAAAAAATAAAATAAAGAAATTCATGCAGTAAAACTGTTACTCATTTCTTTAAAACATTACCCTTTTAACATTTTCACCGTTTGCAAGTGCTCATCTTTTCATCATTGGATAACAGTATTTCTTTATTTTAGCCTCCCGTCAATCATTCATTCAGTCAGAGAAATCAACTTATAATTTATTCAAAAGGTACTTTACTCTTTGCAATGGTGATCTTCTAGTCAAGTCTCTTTCAGCACATTCCAATTTTGCGTCTCTAGGAGGCAAATTATATCAAGAAAATATACTCTCATTCTCCATGCTCAATTTTTACTCCACACTTTAACATTTTAATATTTTTTTTTCTGAAATCTTTAACATCTTAATATAAACACTTGTAATGAGGTTTACATAAAAAAAAATAACTTAGTAATATCCGCCACATCATAAAATAAAATTAAAAGAGTAAGAATTGAAAATATATGTAGTAAAACTCATTATATCATGCAGCCCACACTGTTGCTAGGGAGGCCGTTTATGAGTCAGGTTGCAAAAAGTGGCTAGATGTTTCACCTTCTTTTCTTGTTCACTGCCTTGCTGATGATTTAATGAATTAAATTTTTATTTCTAAGAAAAAAAAAAAAATCATCATATCATGAAACGTGATTTACCTTATACCATAAATTATAATTCATTATTATAATATTTTAATTTCATTAAAAAGTATTATTGATCGTTGCTTATTATTATAATATACTATAAATTTATTATAAATACTGTAAATTTATTAAGATGACATCAATTTGCATATTATCATTTACATAATAATAATAATAATAATAATAATAATAATAATAATAATAATAATAATAATAATAATAATAATAATAATATTATTATTATTATTATTATTATTATTATTATTATTATTATTATTATTATTATAAATAAAAAAATGTTACAAAATATACTGTTAAAAATATCTCATTGAAATCTTTTGAATGATACTCATATTAATATTTTTTGAATTTTAGTTGTCTATTGCTGAACTTGAAATATTGATAAAATGAGTTTTCTGTATTGTAAAAATGAATCTCCTGTATTCTTTTAATGAACATATTTTAGGTTCAAGAGTATTATGATGCAGTTGCATTATTATTGTAAAGATGAAGATTCAATATTTAAAAATGATCCACAAATATCGTGAAAATGAACTTACACAGCGTTATTAATGAATTTAATTGAGATACATCATTATAATGCAATTGTATTACAATTGTGAAAATGAACATATGGTATTTTCAAAATGAAATTGTAGTATATTGTGACAATGAACTTATTGTGTTTTCTTAATGAACTTATGAATATTTATTAGCATAATAATGTATTTGCATTAGTATTATAAAAATAAACTTACAATATTTTGAAAATGAACCTAATATACAAACTTAATATAATCATGCCCTAATTTAAAAGGTTAAAATAAAAATATCAATATGTATGTTAGTATGTAATTTAAAAGATCTTTATTAGAGTTTCTTTAATAATATGCTTTTTATCTATTTAATTTTATTTTTATAAAAGGACTAGTTTTTTACGCGCATTGCACGATTGAGATAATGTCCAATGTTTTTTTTTTAAATAAGTACTTTAATGCATGTATATCAAGGCAAGATTATATTGAAATTGTTCATGCATAGATAATTGAATGTTAAATTTGCACATTTAAATAGGCAATTCTAAGTTTACAAATGCAAGATAATATAGTCAAGATTGATTATAATTGTCAATAAAATAATTGTATAGGTATGGTGAAACCAAATATGGGACATAAGGGAGAGAAAATAAAAATTAGGGCATAAAATATAAAAGAGTTAATACCCATTTTGGTCTCTTGACTATTAGGTAATGTGCAATTTAGTCCCATACTATTAAAAGTATCCAATTTAGTCCTCTAACTTGTAAATCATACCCAATTTGGTCCTCTGTTACAATTGTCATCCATCCACTGTTATAGAGACGGGCAAAAACGTCGTTTTATCTAATAGTCGATGGACCAAAATAGGTATTAACTATTAGAGTAAATACCCAAAATGGTCCCTCGACTATAGCTAAATTCACAAATTTGTCCTCGACTTTCAATTTCAACCAATTAAGTCCTTAACTATGCAATTTTAACACAATTTGGTCCTCTGTCTATTTGACCGTTTGTTGACTGTGATTTTTGAGGATATATATGTAATTTCATGGTCCATCGTCGGGTTTTTAAGGTTCGGTTGCATTTCTAGACCACACTGTTACATTTGAATCCACTGCCGAAAGCAATCTACCAAATCCGGTCGCCTTTCTTCATCCTCCCTTTGGATTCAATGTAGTTGAGTTTGTACCAGAGCGAAGAAGACGACGTGTTTCTGGACCGGTGCAACGTCATCCTGGAAGCCTCCACGTGCTCCGACGAGAGCAGAAGGTTCTTCTGGAGATCGTCAATCATGATCAACAAATGGTCAAATAGATGGAGGACCAAATCGTGTCAAAATTGCAAAGTTAAAGACTTAATTGGTTGAAATTGAAAGTCGATGACCAATTTGTGAATTTAGCTATAGTCGATGGACCATTTTAGGTATTTACTCTAACTATTATTATCTAATAGTCGAGGGACCAATTTGAATACTCTTTTTGTCAATAAATCTTCTAAGTAGTTAATATGATTGGCTTAATTATATTTTATTTTTATTTTTTAAAACAATTATTATTATTATTATTATTATTATTATTATTATTATTATTATTATTATTATTATTATTGTTATTGTTATTATTATTATTATTATTATTATTATTATTATTATATGTATACACTTAGGTCATTTTACATGTTAATCTAAACCGTTAATTTTTTCAAATATCTTTTTACTAACCGTTGATATAATTCGCTGGTCAAATTCGCTAATATAATCTGCTAACGCTAACCGCTAACTGCTGATTGTCAAACAAGGACATTGCGAGGTAATTCTCACTTCAATTTGTTGTGTGATTTGAATACTCTCTTTGTCAACAAATCTCTCAAGTAGTTAATATGATTAGCTTTATTAATTATATATTTTTAATTTTTTCATGGTATTAATAAAATACTTGGTAAATAAATATATATCATCATTTTGTATTATAACTTTAATATTTAATTAAAAAATAGTGCACAAAAAAAGATAATAGACAATGTAGTGAATATAATCTATTGATGAATTTGAATGTAAAGAATTTTTACATTGGAGAAATATAAAGACAATATAACTAATAAAATTATTTCTCTCCCCCACCAAAAAAAATAAAATTAATTTCTCTTAATTAATTTATTGATAATGAATAATTTTTTTTAATAAAAACATTGTAGGAACAATGTAGCGAATATAATCAATTGATGAATTTGAATGTAAAGAATTTTTATATTGGAGAAAAATAAATACAATATAACTAATGAAATTATTTCTCTTATTTAATTTATTGATAATGAATAATTTTTTTTTTTGAATAAAGACATTGTAGACACATAATTCTAAATTAAAGAAATGCATATGTATTATTTTTTGTTGTAGCTACTAAATTATTATTTAATTTAATAAGAGTAAAATAGAGCACTAATTATGCCAACTTTGATTGAGATGGGGTTCGAACCTAACACCTTTCTTATTGAAATCAATTTGTAAGTTAACGGTGAACTAACATAAATTAATGGAAAAGATAATATTTAAGGGAAAAGTTAACGGATAATCATATTCATTAAGGATAAATTAGGAAATCTTAAGGAAAAATTAAAATCTGATCAATCTGAACCATTCATTTGATTAAAAAATTTGATCGCCATTTTTTCTACCCATTATAGGCCTAATTCTCTTGGGCTCTTATTAGTATAGTAGATAGTAGATAAAGAAAAAACTTAAAAATAAAGACGGATGGAACTAGAACGAGGAAAGACGACCATGGCACAGTTGTATTGGTTTTACATGGTCAAATCTACTTACAAGTTACCTACCCCTCAGACATTTTTTTTTTCAAAGAATAAGTATGTTTCTCATAACTTTTTAGGAAATAAATAACTGCAAATTTTATTTTAACGTCCGTTAAACTCATAAAATGACATTCGGAAGTCTTTTTTTTTTTTTTTTTGAATTTTATTGTGTTTGTGTATTCAAAGAAAATAAAATTATTGAAAAATATTCATTCTAACCAATCGAAAAAATATTCAATTTGACGAAAAATGTCTTCCTAGATTTTTTGTTGAAAAATATTTTTCGGATTATTTATTTTCTCGTATCTCTCTTCTCTCTCATATATATTCAGGCTTATTTTCAAATTATTATTACTACTACCACCACCACACCACACCACTTATTATTATTATTTTTTTTTGAAAACCATTATTATTATTATTATTATTATTATTATTATTATTATTATTATTATAAATAATATGTTCATTTTCAGAAAAATGAGCTAAACAAAAAATTTAAATACAATTTATTAACTTTTAGTCAAATTTAAAAAATATATAATTTTCTAACCTTTAGTCAAACACCAAAATTAAAATATTCTTCACGAAATGAGTTACTCCGTATTTTTTAGAGAGCAAATTCCACTAAGGGTGTGTTTGGAAACCCGGAAAATGATTTCTGGAAATCATTTTCTGAGTTTTTGGTGTTTGGCTAGGCAAAGAAAAGGGAAGTCAAAGGAAAATGGCATACAAAATAACCCATCTTTTCCGGAAAATGACTTCCCTTTTTTTTGGGAGGAAGTCATTTTCCACTCTCCCTTCAGTAGAACTAGAGAGGCAGCATCTTCTCCATTTCCTTCCAATAGTTGGTCTGGTTTTCGTCTTCTTCCACTGTCACTTCTTTTTCATCTTCTTCCACGTCTTTCTAGATCTGATTTATGGCTGTGGAAACCACCAGAAACCATGGTTTCTGGGTGCGGAAACCACCGGAAACCAGATGGTTTTCGACAGTGGAAACTAGTTGATTTCTGTTCTGGGTTTTTGCGCGTTGCCTTCCTCCTTCAACAAACATTCACACAAGCGCGAAAATCAGAGAGCTCTCTGGTTTCCGGCCGGAAACTTCTCTCTGGTTTCCGCCGGAAACCAGAGAGCTTTTCTCTGGTTTCCGGCTGCGGAAACCAGAGAGCTTCTCTCTGGTTTAAGGCCGCGAAAACCAGAGAGCTCTCTGGTTTCCGCCTTTCCGGCCGGAAATCAAAGAGTTTTGTACTCTCTAGTTTCCGTCTTTTTTTTTTTTGTTTTTTTTTAAATTTTTTAATAAATAATATTATTTGATTTTATAAATAAATATTATTATTTATAATATTAGTATAAATTTTATATATTTTAAACAAAATAATTAATTATATAAAATGTTTAATTATACAATTCTACATCATTTTCAGAAAATTAGTCAAACACCAAAATACAGTTTTCCATTTTGCAGCCAAACACCGGAAATGAAAATGACTTTTGAAAAATGACTCATTTTCTAGAAGTCATTTTCCTGCTTTCCAAACGGACCCTAAAGGTCATTTGAGTTTGAGGCACTACTAACTTTGTTTCTCAACTTACAGGCATACCACAATAAGTCCTCCAAATTTTCTAAAGCTACCACTAATATCCCTTCGTTTATTTATTTATTTATTTGTGGAAGTACCGTAAAATTGGATGGCAAAGTAATAATATCTACTTTCTTTTCCACTCAATATAAGGATAGCCTTAAAATAATAAAAACTTGCAAGGAGATTAAGAGAGTTGTGTGAAATGGCCTGCACTATGGGAAAAGTAATTTTTTTATTTGTCAACAAAATCATGAATTATTGGAAAACGTAAGTATTTTTTTCTTTTTTTAGTTTTTCCGGTAGATATATATCATTTATATCAACAATAATTAGTGAAATTTGGTCGCATGGGCAGCTCAACTGGTGATCGAGATAAAAATTAAAAAGAATGATCAAAAGTCTAGCCTCTATTTATGTTCAGTTGAGTTACCTCGGGCTGGGGTTCAACCTTTTGGAAAGAATAATTAGAGAAATTTTTTACACCTTTTTTTTTTAAATTTTCATAAGTATAAAGATTTGGCAGAGTTAAATTATTATATCTATTTTTTTTACCAAGTACAGTAAAAAAAAAAAAAAGAGTATTCTTTTTTTTTTAATGCAAAAAAAAAAAAAAAAAAGAGTATTCAAAATTATGAGTTAATGTTTAGGGTTTATAACCGGATTGTTTCATAACGAGTTAATTCCAGTAATGGTCCTCTGACTATTGTGATTTTTCAAAATTAGTCATTGTCTTTTAATTTGGATAAAATAAACCTTTGACTATCAGATTTATTCCACCATAAGTCCTTCCGTTAATCATCCGTTAGAAAGGTGTTAAATGAAGGGCTAAAAGGGTCATTTCCTCTAATTGCTTTCTTCTTCATGATGCTGGTGAATTTGTGTATCTATTTCACGCAGCTGATCAAACCCAAACCCAGCAATAATAGTGGTGGAGCCGTGGAGTGACGACACAAGCCAAACCGGCGGCAGCGATTTGGTGGAGGTTTGGACGTAGCGGAGTTTGTGCTTGGTTCTTGATTTTCTGTTCTGGAACCAATAGAAGACGTTGGCGTCGCGGACTTGACCGTAATCTTGGAGTTTAGTTTTGCTGTTTCTAATCTCCTCTTTGGGAGGATTAACCATTCCAGAATTGAAAATAGCTTCAAGAATGTGTACTTGCTCCATCTTCGGATTCCATCTCGCCTTTGGCTCTGTAGCGCTCCTCTCTTCACTCGCACCACCTGAAGGGGCTGTTGACGGTGGTTTGAGGGAAGAGTTGAGAATGTGACGGTGGCGGTGCCATGGGTGGAGAGTGTTGCAGGGCTTGGACTTGAACATGCTAAGCCAGTGTCTCTTTGATGAAGACATTGATGAATGATGAATGATGAATGCATTCAATGCTAGGCCAATGGAACCTTTTATTTTAATTTGCTGCTATCTCTCTCTCTTATTTTTGACAATTCATTATGAAGAGAGGGGAGAACTGCAGGTCTCTTCTTGGAAAATGCTTTGGGTTTGCTTTCAGATTCCTCGTTGTCAATGTCTTCACCAACCCATTTATCATTTGCAAATATTGCACGCTCGTCGACCCTCCTTTCAGCTTTCCTTTCTTTAGCATTATTCAATGAAGCGAGCAATTTTCTTTCTATGGGATCATTTGAATGTATGTGTTTAGATTCACGAGAAACTATTGCACCAATTCCAAGCCTAGGAGGTCGACTCTCTAGAATGGCTCCATTTGGTTTATCATCATCTAATGATTTACCCATATTATTAACCCATTGTTCTGCCAATTTGAATACTCTGTCCAGCTTCACGACTTGAGGTCATTTATTGTTCTTTGATGTTTCTTCCGTAGTCATGGCTATTATTTCCAGATCTTAGCTCAGCCGTCCTCAGTCCACCGCCGGTTTGGCTTGCGTCGTCACTCCACGGCTCCACCGCTATTATTGCTGGGTTTGGGTTTGATCGATCAGCTGCGTGAAATAGATACACAAACTCACCAGCATCACGAAGAAGAAAACAATTAGAGGAAATGACCATTTTTGCCCTTCATTTAACACCTTTCTAACGGATGATTAACGGAAGGACTAATGGTGGAATAAATCTGATAGTAAGGGTTTATTTTGTCCAAATTAAAAGACAAGGACTAATTTTGAAAAATCACAATAGTCGGAGGACCATTGCTGGAATTAACTCTTTCATAACTAACATTTATTTTTAAATGACACAACTTAACTTTATAAAAAATTTTAGAAAATATTCGTGATTGAAATATAGAAATACATTTGATAGTATTTGATATTGTATTCGATCTATCAAACTAATACCTATATAATCCCAAATACACAATATGCACATTTAGATCCAATAAGTGTGTTTCTAATTATAGTACAATTTCTAGAACTCCTTTACTGACCATAAATATATTCCTCACAGGCTGTCATGACAAATATGATGATTTTTTTTTAGTATAATGTAATTTATCTGTAACAAATATGTTGAATTTAGTCCAATTTCACGGTATTTTCACACACAAAAAAAAAAAAAAAAAAAAAAAAGAGAAATCAACGGAAGACTATTAGTGGTACGGTAGCTTTAGAGAAGTTAGAGAACTTATTTTGATAGACTTGTAAGTTGAGGACCAAAGCTGGTAGCTCCTCATCAAACTCAGAGAAATATTAGTTGTAGCTTTAAAGAAGTTTGAAGCCTTATTGTGGTAGGTTTATAAGTTAAGGACCAAAGCTGGTAGCGCATTAAACTCAGAAAACCTTTAGTGGAATTTATTTATTTATTATTTTTTTTGAAATCATTTTACTGAAAACATTGAATAAACTAGGAATTAGCATAGTGTCGGGAACAAAGTCCAAATAGTCATTTTAAGAGATAATAATGAATATGATATTTATAATAATATATGATTTTTTTTTTTTGGTAACTCTTACTCTAATGTCTTCTTAAAATCTTTTTAAAAAATATTTAGGGTGTGTTTGGTTTAAGCATTGAAATCGGAATGTTATTAGGAATCAAATACTTGATATGATAATGGTAATGGATTTAAGTAGAAAGAGTCACTTTGTTTGCTAGTAAATAGAGAATTAGAATCAAAATAAATAAATAATTAATTAAAATAAAAATAAATAAATACACACACATATACATATGTGTGTGTGTGTGTATATATGTGTATATATATATATATATATATATATATATATATATATATATATATATATATATATATATATATATATATATTAAATTCCATATTTATTAATACATGGATAATGACCTTTTTAATTTTTTTCCCTTATTTTTAATTCTACTGCTCAAAAGTAGAGGAGTAAAAGAGTAATGTGTTTTGTAATTATTAAAAGATTTGATTCCAATGGTAAGATAACAAAAGTAGGCAAACAAACATAGTAATGAGTATCAAAATACATAATAGGGTGCAAAAGTCCCCAACTAAACACTACCTTAGATTTTTTTATCATATCTGTACATTGTTTAAAGAAAAAATAGTGTGATTTTAAAAAATTACCGCCTTAGTTTTTAATATAACTATAGTTAAGTAAAAGAGAAGATAATTTTTTCTTAATACTCCACGTGTGTTATTTTACTTGTTATTTTATTATTTAGTGATCAAATTAACTATTTTTTAAAAATTTTTTTTTATAGTAATCTCTTACGGAGTATAATTTTTGTAGTTAATATAGTAATTTTAATATTGTTTTAAATATATAATTTTATATACTAATACTAAATTTAATATTATAAAAATTAAATTGTAAAAATAACTCTCATTAAGTCATGCTAATTGAATTGGACCTAGAAAATGGGTGGAAGGAAGTATTATATAATTAGAGGATTAAATTTGTACACTGTTAGTATGATACAAATTAAATGTTGTTTGTTTGTTCCCCTCAAAAGAAGAAAAGGAAACGTTGAAACTGAACTGTGGAGCATATCTATATAATGAGAGCTTTAATCATGATATGGACCAAAGCCCTCCATCTCTATTCTAGGAATGAGTGAAATGTCCCACCTTTCTATCCAGCTGTCTTCCTCGTGATCATGTTCTTATTTTGGTAATGATTTTTAGTGCAGACTTCTTGTTTTCCACCGTCTGAATTGGATAATGAAATATCCCGATTTATATAACAAAGGAGATATGGGGTTAGATTTGAGCACGGTTGATCTGTCAATTAATTTAGAGCGTCGTAGTACTTTTTTCCAATCATTATACCCTGCATCAGGATGCACATAACAATGTACTTCTCGCGTCTCTCAAAACAACATCGTTTTGTTAAATTATGTGACAAGTCGACGCGACAGAATGTATGTGTATTCTATTATATAATTATGTACATTATATGATACAATTATGTACATTCTGGTATACAATTATGTACATCCGAACACACGATTTTTTTAACAGTTAAAAGTTTATGTACATTCTATTATACAATTATATACATTTTATTATACAATTATGTCCATTTTCAAAACATGAAATTTTTTTTACGAAATTAACATCAAACACAGAAAAATGAAATTTACAAAAAAAAAAAAAAAAATGCAAAACGACGTCGTTTTGCACCAGGGCGCACAATGCAATATGCACCCTGGTGCACGATATAAATTGCCCTTTATTTATTTATTTATTTATTTATTTATTTATTTATTTAATTCAATCTGTTTAATTTATCATCCTATACTAGCGAAAACAGCATGCAAGAAGGTTTTAAAAAGGACAAGATAATATCATATCATAGATGTTTTCCTACCTACTCGTTCATTATATATATATATATATATATATATATATATATATATATATATAAATTTTTACTCGTTCATTATATTTAGTTTCTCATTATATCAAATTCTCTTGATAAATGTAAGAGATACAAAACTGGGGCTGTGCAATACCCGAAATATCTGAACAATCCGTCCGACCCGAACAATGATTCACCGAATGTTGAGGAAATTCGAGAACTTCGGATTATATCTGAACTGGCAAGTGATGGTTTGTATATAAAGGACGGACGGGTAGGGTTAGGATTTATCCCATCCGAACCCGTCCGAGATCCGAAGTATATGCTTAGTATAAAACCGTGCTTAGACCTAGGGTTTGCTACTTTTCCATTTTCATTCTTCGATTCTCTCCACTCCTCACCTCAGAGCTTCTTCTCGATTTCTCCTTGACTCCTTCCCATCTGATCTTCTCGATTTCTCCTTCCCATCTGATCTTCAGTCCTTCTCATCTAATCTTCTTCCATAAGTTCCGTTCTCCCGTGAATCTCTGATTCTCTAAAGTCTGGGTGTCTGAGAGTCTCAGAGTCTGTCCATCCCGAACTCCCCTTCGAGCCTTGGACAGTTCGACGGGAATCTTGTGGAAGTCTCTGTGCAAACTGGAAAGGCGGCAATACGGTAGAAGCCGGACGCTAGTGGAAGTTTGACGCCTTGAAGCCCTAGATCTCAGAGGGAACCTTTGAGAAAACAAGTAAAATGTAACTCTGTCATCTTTTTTCTTATTTTCCCGTTGCATGTTTGTCTGTTCTGTTCTAATTCTATGATGTTGCATGAACCCTAATTTGTAATTGAACCCTAATTTTTAGGGCTTTCCACATGTGTGATGAATTTGTGCTTATTCTGATATGTGTTTGTAAGTTTATGGTTAAAGGACCCTTAAATTTGTAATTTCAAAATGTATGTTGGTGGTGGAAGCCTATTGAAATTGTAATTTATATTATGAATTTATGATGTCCATGTTGAATGCTGATGGTTGATTGTTGGAAATTGAAATGAATGTGTTATATCACTTATATCAGTTATATGTATGTTTTTAAGCACTTATGGTGCCATTGTGGAAGTACTAAGTATGACTGTATGGTTAATTGGTCATGTTAGTTGTTGGATGTTGAATACTTGAATTGTTGATGCCTTGATGGTTGACTGTGGAAGTGTTAAACCCTAATTTGTTGGCATTTTCATAAAATGATGAGTTCATGATTAATGATTCATGATTCATGATTCATGATTCCTGATTATGGAATGAATTTGTTAATGTGTTATATGCAATTATGTATGTCAGTAGTTAGTACCGAGTAGTGAGCACTTACTACTGACTTACTGAGTATGGCTATATGGTTAAATGGTTAATTGGTTAAATTGTTGATCCCTTGATGGTTGACTGTGGCCTGTGGAAGTGTTAAGCCCTAATTTGTGGGCATTTCCATAAAATGATGAGTTCATGAATCATGAATCCTGATTATGGAATATGTATCAGTGTATGTCCTTATGTGTGCTTGTGTGAAATGTGAATCACTGAATCCTAAGTTTGTAAGTTATGTGAACCCAATTTG